ACATCCCCTTACAGAAGGGTCGAGGGGAGGAGACGAGCCAGTTAGAGTGCAGTATAGCACTGATGAAGCATACAACTTTCCTCTTGTTCTTTAATGCTTCCTCCCCACCAGTATCATGATCCCAATTCTACCTTACAAATCTGGCTAGACCAGAACATGTACACTGGTATAGATGAAAACTGGAAATACAGGGAATCCAAGACAGATAAACCCCTCAAGACCAATAATGAGAGTAACAATACCAGGAGGGGAAGGCAAAGGTGGGGTAGAAAGGGGGAACTTATTACAAGAATCTACATATAACCCACTCCCTGGCGGACAGACAACAGAAAAGTGGGTGAAGGGAGACGTCAGATAGTGTAAGATATGACAAAATAATTTATAAATTATCCAGGGTTCATGAGGGAGGGGGTTGCAGGGAGGGAGGGGAAAAATGAGGAGCTGATACCAAGGGCTCAAGTAGAAAGCAAATGTTTTGAGAATGATGATGGCAACAAATGTACAAATGCCTGATACAATGGATGTGTGTATGGATTGTGATAGAGTTGTATGAGCGCCCAATAAAATGATTTTAAAAAGAAAAAAACAAAATTTACATACTAAAAAAAGTGCTGAAAAACTCAACTTATACACGAGTATATACAGTATGTGACGAGTACAACCATGCAAACACACATTCACAAAACACCCAGTAAAAATAATTTTATTTGAGCAATACTGCAGGTGACCTGCTCTTTTCCGCCTCTCTAACATTAGCTAAAGTATAGCTGAAAACACAACACGTGGAAGCAGTTTGCTCAGGCAAAGCAGCATTTGCAGATAGGTACTTTGACAAGGTGCCGACAGATCCAAACAGCTGAGATGGCAAAACAAGTATACACACGTCACAGAAAAAAGAGCAGAAAGGACACTTCCCTAACAAGCTTGCGTGACATTTGTGTGTATGTGTTTAAAGATCATAATCGCAATTAAAGCAATAATCTCTTAAAATTTTAAGGAGAAGACTATTAATAGTAGTGGTCGTAACAAGGAAGATAAGCCGTAGAGGAACTTACACAAGGCTGCCTCCTACCTGAGGAGGGCTATGGTCTCACTGCTTTCCCAGGGGAAGGGCCATAGGGTCAGACTCAGCAACAGGGGTCAGATCGTCTAGTCGTCCCGGCTGTGCCACGCAGCTCTGGCCTTAGGGAAATGTTAGATCAGGGGTCCTCACACTGCGGCCCGCCGAGGACATTTATCCCACCTGCCGGGTGTTTTTGCAGCCACTGCATGTCCTGCTTAGCAGCCGACTCGTGCAGTGCGCAAAGGAATTTGTTCGTGGTTTTTAAAAAAAAACTATAGTCTGGCCCTCCAACGGTCTGAGGGACAGTGAACTGGCCCCATTTAAAAAGTTTGAGGACCTCTGCATTAGATGATCAAACGTGGGCTTTACTGGAAATAACTCATTACTGGCAAGTTGATTCTGACCTAGATTACCCTGAAGAGCAGTGTAGAACCACCTCGCAAAGTTTCTGAGACTATAACTCTTCATGGAAGCAGACAGAAACAGCCTCACCCTTCACCTATGGAACAACTGATAGGCTTGAACTACTGACTTTTCAGTTAGCAGGCCAATGTCTAACCCACTGCACTACCAGGGATCCCTTTTTGTTGTGAATAGTGGCACTTCTTTCGATACCTCCAAGAAAATACACAATTCACCACCATTGAGTTGATTCGGACTCATAATGATCCTTCAGGACAGGGGAGAACTGCTCCTGAGGGATTCTGAGACGGGCTAGGGAATGGGAGTAGTTAACTCTGTTAGGTGGTGCAGTAGAGGGGGGATGGAGAGATTGTATTAAGAATCCGGGCAGAGGGTTAGATTAGGTGTTAGGGGAGAGATCAAAAAGTGGAAGAGGACGTGTTAGAGAAAGGAGAGAGAATGCAACAGTAAGCAAAAAGGGGGAGGGATCAGGTAGTGTCCTTTCGTAGGTTAAAAGAAAGGAAATCAGACCCCAAAAGTGCCTGCTTTGCAATGATGGAGGAATGGCTAATAATATTTGATAGAAAAACATAGGGGAAAAATGTAAGAATAGTGTCAGCTTCTGGTTTTATGACAATGAGAAAAAAAGAGAAAATAAAAGATAGGTTAAAAGTGCCATGAAATAAAAGTTTAGATATTAAAAATGAAGAGAGGAAATTAAAGGAAAGAGCAAGAGAAAACAGTTTTGAAAATAATATGAAAAAAGATACTAAAGTAAGACGCCGGAGAGCTGTTAATGTACGTTTGTTAGGGCTGGATCTAAGCTTGGAGCAGAGCTGACACAAGGGCAAAATCAACAGGATAAGTAGGGCAGTGCAGAAAAGTGGAATAGGCCGGGTCCATGATGATGGCCCTACGTTGCTGACTTAGCCAACCTGGAACTCACCAGCCCGAGGACTTTAGAATTGACATGATGTTGTAGGGTGTCACTGAGTCATATCTGATTCGCAGCAAGACTATGTCAAAAGAACGGACATCCTTATATTCCTTGCTGTTTGAGATAGTTGTTACAGTCAACTGTGTCAATCCATCTCATTGAGAGTCCTTTTGTTTTTTTGGCTGAGCTTCAATTTTGAACTAAGCATTAACTATTTTGCCAAGCATGATGTCTTTTTCAGGGACTGGTGCCTCTTGACCATATGTCCAAAGCATGTAAGACAGTCTCACCATCCTCCCTGCTGAGGAGCATTCTGATTACCCTTTTCTTTTTAAATGCAAGTCTTATTGACATATGGTTCACATATCACATGCCACAGTTAAGTCCTATTAAACATAGCTGTACAATCTTCACGACAATCAGTTCCAGAACATTTTCTTCCCTCTTGTACTTGTTATTAGCTCCCCTGTTATATGTCCCTCCAACCTTTCCTGGCTGCGCTTCCTCCAAAACAAATTTATGCATTCTTCTGGCAGTCCACGGTATAGTCAATATTCTTCACCAACACCATCATTTAAATGAATTCATCAGTCTTCATTGTCCATCGTCCAGCTTTCGCATGCCTAACATGACTGAACATACCATAGCTTAGGTCAGGTGCATGTTAATCCTCAAGGTGACACCTTTGCTTTTGAACACTTTAAAGAAGTCTACAGCAGCAGAGTCACCCAAAGCAATACATCGTTTGGTTTTTTTGACCGCTGTGTACATAGGCACTAATTATGGATCTAAGTAAAATGAAATCCTTGCCAATTTCAATCTTTTGTTTATTATGATGCTACTTATAAGGTTCAGTTGTGAGCATTACTGTCTTCTTAATGTTGAGGTGTACTGAAGGTTTGATACATACTTGAGCCTTCGCTCTTCAGTAAGTGCTTCAAGTCCACTTTACTGTCACCAAGCAAGGTTGTCATCTGCACACTGCAGGTTAATGAGTTTTATTCCTGCTGCATTTTTCTTTCTATCTTTTAGCTTCTTAGATAATCTGCATATAAACTGATTAAGAATAGTAGAAGAATACAAGCATGAAGTGTTCCCTTGCTCTGTTCAAATGCACACGTCTTGGTTGATACACAGGTTCCACATGAGCACACGTAAGCGTTCTGGAATCTCATTCTTTCCAATGTGACCCATAATTTATTGTGCTTTACGTAGTCAAATGCCTTTGTACAGGCAACAGAACACAGGTAAACACTTTTTCATAGCCTCAGCTTTTAGTCAAGATGTATCTGACATCAGCAATGATATCCTCATACCATGACGACTCCTCAATCCAGTTTGAATTTTTAAAAATTTACTTATTTACTACTAGATTCTTCTTTTAGTAGTAATACTTTGAATTTTTGGCAGGCCCCCGTCGATATAATGCTGAAACAATTTCTAAATTATTTTCAGCAAATGTCATTTCTGTGCTACTGTTTGCAATGTCATTTTATTGGATTGCCTTTCTTTGGAATGGGCACCTGAATGGAGCTGGCTTGAGAGTAAAACCAACGTGCTAAGTAAGGCAGGATGATCCCTTAATTATGGCCCTCCATTGTTGACTTGGTCAACCTGCATATGAACGGCTAAAAACTTCTTGTCCAGAAAGATAACGAAACTTCCTGTCACGCCAGTTTAGATTTGCTGCTGCTGCATCTTGGCTGTGAAACCTTAGTATCATCAACCCTGCTTACAGGCTGTGAAACAGGATCTGAAGAGAGCAGATGGGCTCAAGGTCACAGGGAGTATCTCATACCAAACACTGAGACAGCACAGGAGAATCCAACTCACAGGCTCTTCTCTCAAGAAATGCAAAGAAGACACACATATATAGGTTTCCTTGGTCTTCAAAGTTAGTTTTCCTCCCTTCTTTATCCAGTCATTTTACCTCCAAAATAAGTGATAGCTGGTTCTAAGAAAGCTTGACATTTCACAGCCTGAATTTAAGATAAACAACTGAGAAACAAGAAGTAACTCTATTATGAAGATTTGCTTTCGTCAGCCAAAAGCATAGGCTCAAGAATCCTAAAAATAATAATAAGGCCCAGAGGTAGTGGAAAAGTTAATGACAGGAAGCATCTGAGCATTTACTACTAAAATTCCATTCTCAACTCATTCACTAACATTACCCGAGGCTATTTACAAAGTGGCATAAAACTTCTGCTTCAACACCACTGGTGAGGCGCTAATGAATGTAAGATCATCCTGATGCTGGCCTTGCTGCCAGGACTGACCCGCCATCTGCTAAAATTAAATTCAACATTAAAAGTAAGAGAAAAATAACATGAAACCAGCATCCATCCATCCAGTGTTGAGAGAAGTTAAACAAAGTGATCGCCACCCGCCCCTCACAACCCGCCCCTCCCCCTGTCCTTCTGGGTCCTCTCTTTTTGAGAGGGAGTATGGGGAAGTGAAGAGAAACACTTTTAGCAGTTACTCTGTATGAACTGAGAAGCTCTGGTGGAGGAGCAGCTAAGAGTTAGGCTGTGATCCACATGATCAGCAGTTTGAAACCACCAGTAGCTCCAAGGGAGAAAGACTGGGCTTTCTCCTCCTGTCAACAATTACAGTCTCAGAAACCCACAGGAGGTTGCTATGAGTCAGCATCTACTCCATGACAGTGAGTTCTATACGACTTACTATTAGTTACCTTCACATACATGTCTTTATGGAAGTAGGCTTTCACACCTAATTTTAAAGCAACTCAGTTAAGAGGAAATCAGCTTATACAATGGGTGATGCTGCTTGTATGCCTAGACCAGGGAGAAGTGGGAATGGACACTACCATCGCCCCCCTATCTTTGAGGGGACATGTGATTCATACGGCCACTCTACATGAATGACAGGTCTTATACAGACTTCCTGGACCATAGGGGTTTGGCTACCTGAGTCCCGGCATACCTTTGTAGTGTCTGAATGCTTGTTCTGCAGTTGTTCCAAGTACAGCTCGTTGACCTCCCCGAGGACTAACAGCTGCCTGTTCAAGAACTCCATCTGCTGTTGGACTGACTCGCTATTGGAGAGCTGAGCAAAACATAAACAAACAAAGAAAAAGTTCCGACGACACAAAACTAGCAAAAGGGCATTAAATAGAGAATTTTAAGGATACAGGATAGTGAATTATCCCATTTCCTGACACAATGGCTGCAGGTTGGGTGTTGAGGTGGGCAGTAGCCCAGAGCAACAAACATGGGCAGAAATGCACTTCAAAGCTGTACTACACAATATGCACAAATGTGCTTGATACAATTGATGTATGGAATGTTATAAGAGCTGTAGGAGCTCTAATAAAATGATTTTTTTTAAAAATGTATTACACAAAGGGGATGTGAGTACATTCACTTGTGGCTCTGGCCACCCACAGAAGGTTCACAAAGATGAGAATGGATACAACTATCACAGCACACATCAGATCTAGCTGGATAAGGCTGCAGGGCATGACTTTCAGAGTCCAGTGAGCCCCGATGAGAGGGGAATCACAGTCACTTGCCCAAAGAACAAATGTTCTACATTAGTGTAAACAAAGTATTAAGAGAGTGCCACAGGACATGCAGAGTCCAAGATTTGGGCTAAATAATTCTTTTTTTTGTGGGGGCACCATAGGGGGCATGCCCTAGGCATCATAGGATATTCAGCAGTATCCCTGGCCTCTCCCCTCCCAAAGATACCCCACTTACTCTGCTTGTTATGAAAACAAAAAATGTCTCTCCACATTGCCAAATGTCCCCTGGCGGGCCAAATCACTCTCAGTTGAAAACCCCTGACAGAGACATGCAAATATTCTCATTCCCCTGTCTGAAGGGAAAATGTCAGTAGGTGGTGTGAGAACATAAAAAGGTTGGCCGCATCTCTTACCTTTTGAGAAACCTGACTGAGCAGCAGTTCAGTGTGACATACTTTGTTGTTGGCCTTCTTTAATTCGATCCGCAGCTCCGAAATCATATTCCTGCAGTCCTCCAGCTTTGTCTACCCAAAGAGACATGGGTATCATCAGGCTAGCTCCCAAGTCCACCTGGCCATCAGCCCACACAGGATTAGTGGTACCTAGTTCCTCAACTGCTCTACTGTTCTGGGGTCAGTAAGAGATGACTTCTTCATTTTAAGAGTAAACTTAAAATGTTGATTTATGAGTTCCTTATCGTTTAACAAAAGAAAAAAATCGCTTAGATTCACAGTTCCCAAACTGTGCACCCAAAGAACCCTTGGGCTACACAGGAAACACAGATGCACTGCAAGAAATTTACAATCACTGAGGGACACAGCGACGTCTGTCAGACACCCAATGAACTAGCTGCAGGGAGTTTGCAGCATACACAAAACTGTTTTTGTATAATATTTTACAATAACTACTAAGCTGCTAAAACATAAAATATTAATTGAACCGTTGGATCTACTTCTAAAAGTAGGTATTCTGGCTAAAATGCACCAAAGATTATTACTGAGCTACTCGGGGAGTTTGTAAACTCAAGGAGCTGTCAACCAACAAAGTTGGAGAACCTCTGCCCTCAACAAAATGTATCTGACATAGATACACTGGCCATGATTTATGAAAAATAGTTTATTTTTAGTTCAGACAACAAGGAGATGACATTTAAGCAAACTGTTTTGCTGTTCCCATTTACTTTCACTCCTGCCCTTGATTATTTTGCCTGTGTTCTCTTTATACCTGCAATTCCTGGCTCTGGTTGTAGAATTCTTCTCGGTCGTGCTGCAGCTGTCTGATCTGGCTGTGGAGCTGGGTTACCACCGTGTCCCGCTGCTCCTGAAGCTGGCTGTACCTGGCTTGTTCTTTCTGCAGACTAACCTTCCATATCTGGATGTCCTTCTCTTGTAACTTCAACTGATCTTTCTAGCAGAGAACAAAGATGTCATTTTAGCTGGCTTCCAACAGGGATGCTGCTGCTCAAGTTTAAGAAGTTACAAAGATTTCACCTGAACAGTCATAAGCTACCCTCAAATTCACAACCAGAGGTTCTGAACTTGACAGCACACTACTGCTCTTCTTGGCTTTAAGGGCGAGGTTTTCTGACTTTCACATTAGATTCCTTTTTTTTTTGTTTGTTTGTTTTCACATTAGATTCTTACAGAACTTTCTCAAGGGTCAAATTTCAAACACCCTAGAGATCAGAACTGGAATGAAATCTATTACATAGTACTGCTTAAGTTCATTAAAATGAATAAGTAGGTTATCTCAACCATGAGTGTCTTCCACCCCCATCCCCAAGAGACCCATGGTAACGACTAGCATGTACAATGTGGGGCAGGCACTGAGCAAGTGCTCACTGACATTATCTTTTTAACGGCGACAACTTATGAATTAGATGCACAATTATTACCCTTTCATTTTTAGAATGGGTAAAAGTCTTCAAGAAACTAACTTCTTTTTCCAAGAAAGTGGCAAAGCTAAGACCCAATCTCCAGGTCCAGGGGTAAAGCTAAGACCAATCTCCAGGTCCTGTATGGTATGAAATACTGTACTTAACTTATGCTATGAGATAGCTTTGGGACAGCTGGTTTCATAATTGAAGAAACAAAAGGATCCTTTGACCATCAAAGTCCATTACAAACAATCATTTGTTGCCAGTTTCTTGCAAGGGAATCCAGAGATGTGGCCCCTTTCTCTCATCACATCATAGATTGAAGGACCCTATCCTAAACTGTCTAAGAGGCATGGAGCTAAGCAAGGATAAGAATTTTGAGCTGACTCAGTCACTGCTTTCTGCAAGCCACCTGAATGTGAAGCCCACCCTTCCACTGCCTGAGGGAGAGGCCTCACCATAGCAGCATTGTGTTCCTCCAGCGCTGCTGCGCGGATCACTTTGCGCAGGAGCCGCCTGTTCCGGAGAGCATGCTGCTGCCTCTTAAATCGCTCGTAGAGTAACTGGTTGTGCAGTAAAAGCAGCTGGTTGCGGAGGGTGTGGATCTCATCTGAGGGAGGAGAGCCTGATTTTAAAGCAGAGGGAGGTGGTGGAGATGTATTTTACACGGCGCTCAATCAGAGCCCTCCTTCCATTTTTGTTAACTTAAGAAATGAAAGTTCTTACAAAACAAATCACCACTCACTTTGCCATGGACTGTTTGGATCATAGCAACAGGGAGTGTGGAGATAAGATCCCTAATTGCCTCACTTTAAAGAAATGCAAAGTAATATGATGTGGGACCCTTCCTGGATCAACCCCACAAACCTCGATGACCTATATATCTGTATCTTAAAGTCCTTCCTTCAGTGGTGAATTCCCCCACAAGAACTCTCAGTTCCATTCACTTCTCCTCGGTCTTTCAGAGGGATGCGTAGCAGGAACATCTGTACTTTTTGTACCTCACTTACACGCATGGTACTTGTCACTTTTTAAAAATAGGAAATGCTGACTTTGCAACAGTTGAGACATTTCAGCCAACCAGATAACTCGCTGGGCTAGCAAAGAAGGGAGTTCTGTCTCCTATGACGTGCCCCCTTCAAGGACAGAAAAGGCAACATGCACTTGGGAACCAACCAGAATCCCATGGGCTGGATTTGGAGCTATAGTAACAACTTTACCTCCAAAGTGGGTCCAGTCGACAGACTTGCTGGGTAAAGACAACCTAGGAAGAAAGTTTTTTGAGTTACCAGTCTTACCTAGAAAAACCTTATCTGGACTTTTAATTGCAGCTAGTTTAAATCATTTCCTTGCAGTGAAAATTCACCATGGCATAGGAACACAAAGCCCACTGGGAGTTGCAAGAAACGCCTGATGAGAGGCTTGAAGGAGAAGGCGCTCTGCCAAGGGGAGGGGCATCCATTATTTGTGACCACCAAGTGGAGTGGAAAAGCCCTGGCCCCAAGCTTGGCTCTCCACAGCTACCTTTGATAACGCAGAACTGGCTTTCTGGCCAGGTTTCCAAAGCAATGTATGATAAAACAGAGCTGTTTTCTGTTGAATGGCACCGGAAGTAGTTCTCGGCTTAAAAATGGGACTTTCACCCAAGTTGAAGGAAATGAGTAGACTTTCTATATGAGCCTATTACTTCAGAGCCCATTTAAAAAGAAGAATACATATTACAGTGCATTAAATTCCATCTTAGGTTACTATACTATACTGAAGGAAAATAACGTAACATCCCCCAAACCCTGTTCCGAAATGGCAGGCGATTCCGATTCTAGATAGTTATTTCTGTATTCTTTCCCTGGATATCTTTTGAAAAAGGCAATGGAAGGGTTGAAAACAGCATCCGGGGTAGATTTCTTTCCCAGAAAGCCTGTATGACATTATGAGGGAAGAGGGAGTAAGAGAATACTGAACTTGCACTAGAATGCTGATGGCTGAACTTTCCACCTATTGAACTGTGCTATCAAACATGGAACGAGGTTCTTAGACAATTATAGATATAGAAGAAGAGGCGATGTCAAATATTTCAATATTATTTGGAATCGCATAACCTCATCCTCAAATTTTTAAGAGGGTGAATATGAACATACCTAAGCATCATCAAAATACAGTGGCACAAAGGGCCTAAATACGAAACCACTTTTTAGATAGGAAGGTACTAAGGAAGTATTCTAACTTAATGGGCATATATAGAACACATACAAATTCATGAAAAGGCAGTAAGCTGGGAGAACTATGACAGACTAGGAAGGGAAATGATTGCCTTTGAACATCAGCATGAAGAACGTACATTTTCTGCATTTTATAACCAGCCTCCAGCGCCTTACTTGTTAAGCTCCTTGGTGTGTGCATCTGCTCCCTGCTGTATCAGTCTATCCAGAACTTCCATTGGGGAGGTAGAGGGCAGGTACTTTTCCTCTGTGTTTCCTTTTACTTTTTTTGACAGTTCCTCCGTCTTCTCACTAACAAACTGATAGGCAGTCTTTGGCAATGCCACCTCAAAAAGATGATCATATGGGGGAGGTTGCCCACTTCCAAAGCCCACTCCCCTCTGAGGTGGGATTTTGAAAGGACTGGGAGTGAGGATATTTGTCTCCAAAGAAGTGTGGCGTTCCCTGGCTCCAGCAGGGCTTTCATCAACACCTCCAAAGGGCAGGTCTATGGGAGTAAAGGCTTGCTTTGGTGTGTCAGGCCCGAGCTTGTCCAGGGAGGAGTTAAACGTCTCTGGGTTCACATTAGAGCTTTGTGCTCCAGAGGCTGCTGCGTGGGTCTTTCGCTGAGAGCCTGGGAGACTGTCTCGGTAGAAAGGGGAATCAAAGCCACCTCGAGGAACCACGGGCTCTGCATCCGTGGTAGTGATCTCAGAGAGTTCTTTAGAGATTGCAGCTGGGAGGGGAAGAACACAAGAGAAACCACGGTAAATATTTCGTCTGCATCAGGCCAGGGAGTTTGAGTTATCATGCTGCCCCATACCAGGGTCACCCAGAAAGGAAAAAGATCCCTTGGCTAGGGTAACACCCATCGCCCCCTGCCCGCCTCCAACCAAGGGAAGTAAAACCAGGTCACCTTATGTGTACTGATACGAAACGGTTTCACAGCGGAACAAGAATTAAGTTTCATCATTTCCCGGGCACAGAACCCCCCACACATTACCTTCTTCTTTATCTTTCTCAATACTATCTTCTTCAGAGGCCAGATCACCTAAAAACACTGGAAGATCACTTAGAGTGACAGAACCTTTGCTGCCCGGTGTTTCTTCTAAATAGGAACAAAGACAGCTCTGGTTAAACACACACACCTGTAATTCCTGAGACTATGAAATGGTTTATACTGTCATTCAGTATGACTCTTCACCCTGGACAGGAAAGTCGGCAAGGGATTCTCTCCGGTGGCTTAATCGAGAAGGCTCAGCTACTATAAATCATCCGAGGAGCCTAAAAAGTCCACTGCGGTCGAGTCCGTGCTGACTGACATTCACTGGTGTGTGCAGAGCAGAATGCACCTGAGAAGCCTTTCTAGGCTGTGATCTGTCAAAAGCAGATTTCTAGGCCTTTCTTCCAAGGTACCTCTGGGTGAGTCTGAACTATCAATCTTTTGACTAATGGTTCAGTGCTGAGCCAACAGTACCATCCAGGGGCTTGATCTCATTAAAGTACCAAAAAATATGTAATAATCCCCTGGAAAATACAATTCTTTATTTTCAATGTCTCAGTGAACAGGTAAAACTGTATCATTTGATCAGATCAAAAAATTTTTATGTATTTCTTTGCAATAATTCAAGAGCTTTTGTGGTACTACTGGTTAAGTTGGCTTTTAAGAATTACTGACTCTTGAGGGCTGAGGTGGAGGGCAGATGTTTTGGGATTGATGGGGGCAGCGGGTGTACGTGTGTGCTTGACTCAGTGGATGTATGTGTGGACTGTGATGAGATTTGTACGAGCCCTCAATGGGATAATTGAAAAGAAAAAAAAAAAGAATAATGAGGATAACAAATGTACAAATGTGCTTTATACAATTGATGTATGTATGGATTGTGATGAGTTGTATGAGCCCCCAATAAAATGACTTTAAAAAAAATTAAAAAAAAGAATTACTGACTCATTGTTTCATTGCCTCTAAATTTCCGAGTTTTACAGATTCTAGAATTACCTTGCTTTACACACATCTAACCCAATGAAAAGAGACAAACAAGGCTCACCCACAGAGATTTTACCTAATCCTCGGTCACTGGGACGATGTTGTTGTCTGTGTTGACAGGGACGTGCAGGCTCTGTTCTCTCTTCCTGAAAAGATAAGTACCACTTGCATCAGAAGGCAAAAATATTTTGTGAATGTTCTCTCATGTACAACATCCTAAATAATTTTCAACATATTATAAAGGAGTTAAAGGTTAGTCCAGCAATCAACACTCCAAACTATTTGGCCTCAGATTATCTTCATTATTTGAAACAATTATTGAAAATGCCAAGTGCTTTGGCTTATCTAGATTATATCTATTGATAGTAGTTGTATTAGAAGTTAAAACTACAAATTATTTCTCCATTAAGGGCAATTAAAAAGAACAAACCCATTACATGTTAACATAAATCACATCTATTCCATGTAAAATAACTTTATTTTCTTAAACTAAAAATATATTTCATAAAGAGGGAAACTGTTAGACATTTTACGAAAGTCATGAATATCTGGCTTAGTAGAATAAGCTGGACTCCACCTGCTTCTGTATTCAACCTGCTGCACCATGCTGCTTTGGCTAAAGTATACAAAAAAACCTGGCGCTGCACAGGCATGGCATTGCAAAAAAAATAGAGTATGCAACAGACTTTTTTAGGTAATTGTCTATATTATCTTTTTGATGTCACATCCAAACTCAACAGGGAGAAAAGTTTTTTTTTCTTTTTTAAAAAAATCATTTTGTTGAGAGCTCTTACAGCTCTTATCACAATCTATATAACCATCCATCGTATCAAGCACATTAGTACATATGTTGCCATCATCATTTCAAAACATTTTCTTTCTACTTGGTATCAGCTCCTCATATCCTCTCCCCCCCACCCCCCACCTTCCATCCCTCATGAACCCTTGATAATTTATAAATTATTATTATTTTTTCATGTCTTACAGCAACCACTGTCTCCCTTCACCCACTTTTATGTTATCTGTCCCCCTGGGAAGGGGTTATATGTAGATCATTGTGATTTGCCCCCCCTCCCCACCTTCCCCTTACCCTCCTGGTATCACTACTCTCATTATTGGTCCTAAAGGGTTTATCTGTCCTGGATTCACTGTGTTGCGAGCTCTTATCACAACAGGGGTTTCTTAAAGGTTAGTTACAATGTAGACTCTGAAACTATTATCCATTTTCATACTGGGTTAAAATTTCTGGCACTACTTGCACTTTAAGAGCTATGACAATGAACTCTGACCATACCAATGAAAGCACAGGAAGGTTCAAGTTTTGCTCTGCTATGCATAAGGTCACCAGGGGTCCAAGGCAACTCCAGGGCAACTAAACACCAGCACTTTTTACCTCGAAAGCACCTTTTACTTAAGCATGCTTCTGTAACATCACATATTGGTTGTTTGGAAAATACTGTTTTACCAAGCTATGCGGATGTTTCAAATGATGACACATTCCATTGGCTCAGATCACATATTATTAGCCAAACACCCTCTCCCCACAAGACTTCTCAACATCAAGAGAAAAGTCTTGGGACACTATCAAGCTGAAGGTCGCAGATGCATGCTTTTTGTTATTTTAATTTTCACTGAGAAGTTGTTTTATCACTGGCTACAAATACTGTTGGTCGTTTAACTTGAAATGACAGATTCACCTCATCATTTGAGAAATTGCCTGCCAAGAGAATCAGTCTCTATAAATGTAGTGTATTAGTTGTTCCTTCAAAAAAAACTGGTACTCCATGAAAAATTAAAAAGACACTAGTTCAGCTCTTAATTCTAATAATCACAAGTGCTTCAGATAGCAGTCATGCATTACGGTATGGCCTGGAAGTGCTTTATGCATGCTCTCCATTTGGGCACACAAAGTCTTTTATATACCTACATACTCGAGTATAAGCTGACCCGAAATCAGCAAGGTACCTAATCTTACCACAAAAACTGCATTAAAAAATGTGCTGAAAAACTCGGCTTATCCATGAGTATATACAGTGTGTGTATGTGTGTTCCCAAGGGCCATGGCTGAACAGAACTAGTCATTTCTATTCCTTTGCATTGAACTTCTGCAAGTCGCCTATTTACGAACAGGCAGGAAAGAATCCAATGTGGATTCATGCTACGGCGTGCCACCTTGCCCACCACCCTTCCTGTAATGTTGGTGCAAATGCCGGCTCAGTACACAGGCGTCAAGAATGGCTCAGTGTTCCTATGAAAACAGTTTTGACCTAGTGAACCCTGGAAGATTTGCGAACCCTCAGGTTTCTGCACATTACACATTGAGATCGGTTGGATTCTATTTTCAATTACTCGTTCTGAGTCAAGCTCATCCCATTTTAGATTAAAAAAAAACCATGTGGTGCAGTTAGGCTTTACAGAGTGAGAAGGTAAGCAGTTCTCTGCAGTAGGCAGAGAACTAGCAGGTGAGTTGACACATACCTTCTTGTGGGGTGTGGCTGTGGCCTGTGAGAGTGAAATGTGCACGTATTCATCCGAATGGCAGAGTGGGGCTGGAGGAGGAGAGGTCGCTGGGGTCCCCAGAGGGGTCCCTTTTCCACCTACTGAGACATAAGGGCAAAATATATATAACCAAACTATTTAAAAAATTCTGATTGTTTTCAGTCCAACTATCACTACAAATAAAGATGCTAGAGTTAACTTTCTGGGACCTAGATCAGTCTCTGGTTTAGTCTGTTTTGGTTTTTAAGGTTTATCTTACATTTTCTGAAAACCCCAGAGGTAAGTGTCCCCGACAAAATAGGAAAACTATTGTGCTAAGTGCCTGCCCCCTAAAATAGGAAAACTATGGCAAGTGGCCCCCAAACTCAGTATCAGATGTAAAGCACAGTTCCTTCTATCATAAAAGTCAAACTCAATGAACTAAATCCATCCTAAGGCATACCTACCAGTTGGACCAAAGACTCTGCTGTAGGGCTGTGACAACTCAGGCGGGATATTTCCAGGAGAAGTTGGCGGAGTGGTCATACCACAAACCGTAGCTGGGCTCCAAAGAGTAGGCTAGGGTGTAAGAACACGTGTTAATAAAGCACTAAGTTGTCACACAACTTATATCCAGAACAAATGTTCAGTTCACACGGAGCCTTTTCAAAGTTAAAAAGGCCTCTAATGACAGCAATGAGTTATAGATTTGTTAAGTTATATTTTGCTAAAATCCAAAATGAACCCAAGTGGCAACATTCCTTGGTAATATGATTGATCCCTAAAATGAGCAGTTTGAGAGTTTTCCAACCACATGGTACATTCTGACCCCAATGGCCAGCTTCACGAGCTAGCAGAGAAGAGAGCAGGCACACAATGTTACACCATACTTGCGGTGGCTCAGTTAACAGCCGCGTTGACGGGGAACTCAGAGTCTGAGGTAGCTGCCCTGGCGTATTAAACATCAGCCGAGAAGTGGAGTAAGGGGTAGAAGTAGCAGTCCCTAGAATGGAAGGAAAAGAAAACATGGGGTTAATATGTGGCTGTAGATTATTCTGATAATAAACTAAGATTCTTTAGGCCATTTGATAATATTAAATTCTCAATAATGAACAAATCTGAGTGCTTTCCTGATACCTTAGGGACAAAGTCACATTATTTTTAAAAAAAGGTTCTTTAAATGTTCCAAAAAATAAAATCTGGTGGCTTTTAGTTTTCAGTAAAGTGTGATACCTAGTTAAGCACAATCTGAATTGAAATTTTAGCAAGTGCAGCCTATGGATAAACTTTGGACTTTTTATATGAACCTAATTCTAAGTCGTTCAGATTTGCTACAACTATAGCAATGCTTTAGACATGAGGATCTCATTGTGTCTGCACACTGGCAAGATTCTCTTATGAGGTGAGGTCCAGAAATCAAATACTATTTCCCCTCTTAATCTGTTGAAGAGAAATCCTCAAATCTGTTGGCATACCATAGTCGAGTAGGAAGCCAAGAACATGAGACTCTAAATTATAATTACCTCTAGAACTTGAAGGAAGCATTAACTAGGAGAAAAATGGAGGCAAGTTCACTTTAATTATTTGGGGAAAATTGCTGAACTCTGAGCTAAGTCTGATTCTAGGAAAAGAAAACACAGTAAACAAAAAAACAATGCTTTCCAGAGACAAAGTTGTAAAGCAGATAAGTACCAAAGTCCCTTTTTACCATAGCTATTCTGTGTGTCAACATAAGGGCTGGCGGTAGAATCAGCGGAGCGATGAGGAAAGTGTGCTGAGATTTGGTGAGACACAGAATAGCCGTCTTCATACGAGGCTTCTGTAGGGTCCAGAGAGATTTTGGCACACTCAATTACAACATCATGCGTTTCTAATCTCTTCCACCTGGAACAGGCAAGGAAAATCAAGAAATGCAATTTTAATCCATTCGGCCAAGTATTGAAGCAGGCCAACTCCGTGCCAGCCCCTAAACTGGTTTAGCAGTGAACAAGGTAGAGCCATGCCAACCCAACTACAAAACAGTACCAGTACATAAAGAATGAGCCATTCATTTAACAAAGCTTCAAAATAGGACATAACTATGCAAACAAAGCATCCCCCAAACAAATAATCTCCCAGAAAACAATAATAATCCAAAAGAAAGGTTTGGAAACTATTAGGCAGTTGAAGGCTACTTCAAGATCTCATCAGTGCCTCAGGGTTCTGCTCCCTCCTAAGACCAGAAATATTCAAGCCTAGAGAAAGCCCATAGAATATTTAAAGAATTATCTAAAGAAAAAAAAATTATCTAAAGAGTCCCATTATGTAATTTACAATTCCAAGAATTTAGCCCATGGACAGACATACACCAAGATAGAAAATCATGTTCAACTTATAGCACAGCCAGTAAGAGAAGAAAGGCAATAACCAAGGCCCAACCAATGAAACATAATCTATAAAAGAAATGTAATTACACCACCGTGAAAAGTCATGTTTTCAATAGACTGATGGCTGCCAAGAGTTGGGGGAGAAAACTGACCACACAGGGCATGAAGAAACTTTTAGGATGATTGTGACATTTGTCAAAACAGATCAAATTGATTAATTTTATTTTATAAACTGTAGCCATCTGGCCCACACTGGACTGCTAACCTCAAGGTCGGGGTTCAAACCCACCAGTCATTCCGGGGGCAAGATAAGGTTATCTGCTCCTATAATGATCTGCAATCTCAGAAAGCCCATCCAGAGTCCCTATGAGTCAGAATTGCAGTGGGTTTTTGTTTCTGATATATTACTAAAGCTGATTTTTAAAATCATTCTTTCAAAATGCTCAGGATAGTAAATGGGAAAAGGACAAATACCCACAAGTAGTTATGACTACCCTAAATATTTTCATTACAAAAATTTAAGTTAGGGAATGATATTTGTTTCTGCCTTTCAACTCAACATTTTCCAAATATTTTTAAATGCAAATACTTAACAGAACACTTATATTGTTATGCTTGCTCAAGTCTAACTTTTCTTTCTTGCAGATAGCCTATCATACATAGTCCTAAGTTACTAATGACAGATTCTGAAGCTCCAAAGATCACAGAGAGCAGCACAGCAGTAAGAATGGTACTCCAAAGCTTTATGGTTAAAAAAGCCGATCCCACACAATTGCTCTAAAATGCTCGCAACTCCTGGATGCTTAAAAAATGCCATGTTGAATACAGAAACAAAGGACCTCAGGGCCGGAGAGCCAACCACTCCGTTTTGCTCAGCTTGCCATGTATGTACCAGCTCTGCCTGCTTGAGGTCTCACTGGTGAGCGTGGACTCCTCACCTGTTCTCCTTGTGACTGAACGTGATTAGGCCAGAGCAGGGGCCAGGAAACTTAAGTACACAGAAGATGATTGACGTTAGAGAAGAAAACGAGAATGCATTTAGATATTTTTTTTAACTGAAGTAATATATGCACTGATTCTTAGGTGGACTTTTCACTTTTTAATATTGCTCAAATTGGGAAGCATCTTCTAATCAGTTGAATGTTAGTTTATTTGGATTTTTTACCTTTCTTTCTCCGAGGTATACAAGTGTATCATACATTCAGTAGCACTTTAAGAGTCTATGTAATATATGATGGTTTAAAAAGTCAAAATAATACTAAGAGGTTCCTCCTTCTTCTTTTAGCTAAACTGTTACCTTTTCATCATGTTTCTAAACACTCTGTAGGTCCGAAACTCTTAATGTCTTTGGAGGTGGGGACTGGGGGGTGGGCAGATTTCAATAATTATCTTAACAAAGTGATAAAGTACCATTCATGCCTGAGCCATGCTTTCCCTTTCTTATTTGATTTAACTTGTGTAGAGCTTTAATTTTCTTTCCTTCTTCTTCTTTTTTTTTTTTTCCCCCCGCTATGGGGAACAGGATAATCTCTTAGTTTTTCTTTATTTCAATTGGTAATTCTTTTTTTTTCTATTGCTAATTCTTAAAGAATTTATTCCACCTACTATTTAAAAGTGCTACAGTACAATTTTATATAATAGAATGAAAATAATCCATCAAAATCGTTCTCTCCCTGAACAGCTCCCATCTTCTGGGGCTCGCTCCTCGCTGCTTCAGCCTGGACTGTTGTTCTCTGGCACTGCTGCACAACTGGTGTCTGGACTTTGCCTGACCACTCCTGAGTCAGGCTCCCAGTTTTCTGGACATCCAGTGTCTTTCTCCAGATTCTTGATTTCACTTTCTTGTTTTGATGGAATACAAGCTCCAGTGGCTAGTGGAACAACAGTTAAAAGAGAGGCAGAAAATTGCATAGATACTTGATGCACCATTTGGCTAAGGATGGAAATCTAAATTGCAAATTTAGAATGGAAAACCCTTTCCTCAATTTTAAAAGCGTTCTAGAAGCTAAACTAATTCTGATTTCTGAAACATATATGTGTTTGTTTTGTTTCCTCTCTGAAAGATTTATTCCTGGTGGTTTGAAATTTCACAATACTGAGACTTGCTGGTACTTTCACTGATTGAGCTTGCCATGAAGTAAGCTCTTTCAATCTGGAAAACTCATGTCCTTCAGTTCTAGCAAACTTGCTTATAGTATTTCTTTCACAGGAGTCCTAGTGGCAAAGTGATTAAAGAGCTAGGCTGCTCACTAAAGGTCAGTGGTTTGAGCCCATCAGTTGCTCAAAGACGTGGTAGTCTCATAAAATTTACAACCTTGGAAACCCTAGGAGGCAGTTCTACTTGATCACTATGAGTCAGAATTGACTCAATTAACAGCGAGTTGTTTTTTTCTAGGGTTTTATTTCTTTTACATCTTCTTCTTCCACTATCTACTTCTCTCTTCTCTATTTTAAAAAACTTTATTGATCTTAGATGACTGCATTTTAGCTCCTTATTCTCCTTTGTTTCATTTGGTCTCTGTTTTGATTCAGAGCTCTCTTTAAAAGTGCCCCTTGCCTATCCAAGGTGAATGAGGGGCAATAAACTAACCAAGGAGACTTCAAAGTTAACATACTAAACACAGAACACTGGAAAACTGTACAACCTTCGAAACCCTCACCCAATATACACTTAAAATTGAACAGATATATATTAAGATTAAAGTAGATATATTTGCGTGTGTGCACGTGCGTGTGCATCCCCACCAGAGCAGAATGGAAGAGGAAATAGCACAAAAGATTCTGAAACTGCAAAGAAGAGAGGCAAATGGTAATTGGATTAGTATAGTCAAGAAAGTGGAATCCTAAACTTCCAACGTTTCAAAGCCAAGTTAATCTGCTTTATACTGCAGTACCCTTAAAAAGTTACAGCATTTATAGCATCAAGCACTTTTGGAACTGAAGAAGAGTAGTGAGTAGGTGAGAGCACCTAAAATAAGGCGAACAGGGAGAAACCGAGCCCCCTAGTTCTCCTGCCCAACCTTACGCTCCCCCGGCAACAGCACTCCTCCCACTAGAAATCTGGGGTAAAACAAAGAGTTTCTGAACTGAGGCCCTCCAGAAATAGTTGAGGGCATGAATAATGTTCCAAATAAGGGGATTAGGTGAACACATAGACACTGTGAATGCCAAGACCATGATCTCTTCCCCAGCACCAGTCCTCTTTACCTACCAGTGGCAGTCCTTACCAGAGTGGAGAGAAGACTCTTTTCTACGATATCTACCTAACTCAAAAACAAAGCAATACTGGTATTAGTATCTTCAGCAAATGCCTCAATCAGTCTACAGTGAAGTTAAAAATCTACATGTCCCACCCCAGTGAATAGAGCTTTACTGTCTCCCCAGCCAAACACAAGCTGATTACCAGATATTTTAAGAAAGCCTCAAGATGTAAGAAATACCAAAACAGAAATAAAGCAGCTTAGAGAAAGCAGATTATGCAGAGAAAACAAAACCCAACCCATCATTACAAGATTGCAACAGTGAAACAAAAACAAGCTACTATAAGGAACAGAGAACTAAAGAGTATTTAAATATTAAAAATATGATGGTAGAAATGAAAAGTGTAATTAAAGTACTTAAAGCTAAAGATAAATTATCAAGGGTTCATGAGGGAGTGGGGAAGGGGAGGGAGGAGGAAAAATGAGGAGCTGATACCAAGGGCTCAAGTAGAAAGCAAATGTTTTGAGAATGATGATGGCAACAAACGTACAAATGTGCTTGACACAATGGATGGATGGATGGATTTGTGATGAGTTGTACGAGCCCCCAATAAAATGATTTAATTAAAAAAGATAAAGATAAGGAAGTCTTCCCAAAAGAACACCAAAAGCAGGCGAGAAAAGTAAGAGATCCAGTGCAGGAGGCCCCAATCTGAATACCGAAGTCCAGCACGAGAGCGACAATGGAGGAAAGGGAATCAAGCGGCGCTTTTTAGAACTTAAAAGGTAAGAATTTCCACACTGAACAGTGAAAGAGAACAGATTTATACAGAGGAACATCACTAGGAAATTTAAGAATATTATGGGAACAAAGACCCATAAAGAAAATAACAACAAATACAGGGAATCAGAAAGAATGATGCTTTTAGGTTTCAACACTAGAAGCAAGATGGCAATACAATACCTTCAAATTACTGAATGAGAATGGCTCCCAAGTTAGGTAAACAAATGTACCCCTTCCCAAAATACTACTGAAAGATAAGTAAGTATTATAAGGAACATAACAGTAAAGTAAAAAAGACATGACTATAGAACATTGGAGATTCTACAGAGGATACTATTTAAAGTACCATGGACTGCCAAAAAGCACAGCCAGGTGTGCCTTCGAAGCACGGATGCTGAGACCTCATCTCGGGTCCCTTGGACATGGATCAGGAGCAAGTCCTCTGGAAAAGCACATCATGGCGAAGGAGAGGAGCAGCCAAAAAGAGGAAGACCTTCGACAACATGGACTGACACAATGGCTACAACAATGGTC